TAAAAATATGTAAATTCTCTTTTTTTTTCCACTTTTTATAAATCTTTAATTCCGAAGACGGCCTCGGCTCCGCAGAGCACCACCGAGGTGAGAGCAGAATGTTTACAAGCATAATACATGTAAAACATGTTACATAACAATAATATGTTAGATTACAGCTATATATTTTAGAGTTCAGTTAATGTATTTGGCAAATTATTGACCACAGAGTAGCCAAATACTTACATAAAATAATTTGCATAGGAGTTGATTACATAAATACATGGTAACATACATCGGGTATTATTAACAAATGAGCATAGGATATTATAATACAAAATATTATATCAATGATAAACACATTCAAGAAAACATCAGTCCATTGAGACTAATTGACCTAATTAACGGTAGTTCTGTTGAAATAAGTACATTAGACCTCCCTATAATTACGGTTCCTATAATTACGATTCCTATAAAACTGCAAAAAAATTGCGACGGTATCTGTATAAAAAGGTAAAAAACTTCTATAATTACGCAAAACGTCATCAGGCAGCCGAACTATTTCCTGCTGTCTAGCGCCACGCTACGGAGAGATTTCTATCGTCTGGACAGTATTATATATAAATTAGGTACTGTACATATAATTATATATAAATTAGGTACTGTATATATAATTATATATTAACTTAATTTATTGTAACTTTAATATAATTATATATATAATTTATTGTAACTTTATTATAATTATATATATGCTTTCTGCCGCCTGGCAACACGCTACGGAGATTTTAGGCTAGTAAGTTGAGTTTATTATCGTCTGTACAGTATGTAAATTAGGTACCGTAAGTCTAATACAGTACTGTAATTTTATACATTTCTTGTGAAAGAAACATTTCTTATTCAACGGCGATTAAAATTATTTTTATTAATGATGTTTCCAAAGTTCAACGAAGTTTTCGCAGAAAAATAAGTTATTAGAAATCGGCTGCTGTTTGCTGAGCTGCTCCGCGACGAAAATAAGCTTTAGCAATGGCGATGTCGAATGGTGCACACTCGGTAAGTAATCCTACAATTTTTTTGTTTATAGCGTAGTTTATACGGATTATTTCCAAAAAAAATATACGTATTTTGGAAATGTTGAGTCGGATTAGTCTAGAATCGATTAATTTTATGGAAGAAAACCTTTCAATCAGCTGTAGTCCGTAAACTTGACACGTGTCGGACTGTGATTGGAAGGACTCGTAAGAAATCGGATTCCTAAAGAATGGAACGTATCTATGATCTTATAGGGGGGTCGACTGGTATATACTAGTTCTTTAAATGCTACAAAACAGTTTTTGTCTTTGACAAATATGTCAAGACTGCAAGGCCAATTTTCTTCTCGCGGAAGTAGAGTGGTGATGGTAAAACGCTTATCGTCCAACATAGGGTATTTAAACAGATAGTGTTTTACTCCATCTGTTTCGTTACAAAGTTCGCACAGTGAGTTTTCTGATTTTCCAAACCTGTGAAGATATTGGTTAAACTTTTCATGTCCAGTATAGAATTGGACCAATTTTTGGTCAATGATTGGAAGAGTAGAATCTGAAACCTTGGGGAAAAACTCCTTTGTAAGACATTCACTATGCTCCTCCCATTGTCTTTGCCAAATAGCAAAGGCATTTTCTTTCGTTTGTCTTAAGATGTAGCATTGGGGAGTGGCATTATAGCTTGGTTCACTTTCTAGTTCAGAAGCCATGCGGGCAAGTTGGTCAGCCCGCTCGTTGCCAGAAACACCAGCATGACCCCTGACATAAACGATGGCATACCTGTTGATATCTTTGGCCAATTCCAGCAAGATATCGTGGACTATAAGTGAACGCCACTGCAGGTTGTGAATGGCTTGCATAGACGAGTAGGAGTCTGTAAAGATAGTTATTTCTGTTCTATTATATATGGAGTCGCACCATCTAATGGCCGAAAGAATGGCCCAGAGTTCTGCTTGAAAAACGGAACAGGTTTCCCCAAGTTTTGCTGTATATGTGAATGTTTCCTCATTATTAGCATATACTACAAAGGCACATCCAACAGCCGTATTGTTCTTTGAGCCATCTGTAAATATGGTGAGACGCTGTATGGGCCAGGGTTGATCAGCGATGTCAGGCCAGTAAGCTGGGTTAATGCTGGGGACACCCTTTTTTATTGCGTTCAATGTTATCATAAGATTATCATTGATCGAGTTGATTTGATTGTCTCGGATGAGCCACCTTTGTGTGATTAAGCTGATGGTAAGCTGGATGGGCAGTTTTCAGCCAAAAGTCGTAACGCTTTTGTGGGGGCTGTAGATACGAATAAGTACTCTTCGTTGTGCACTTTGTAGTTTTTTATCAATATGCACCATTCCGAGGCAGTCAGACCAGACTGGAGCAGCGTAACTAATCATTGGTATAAATACCGAATCATATATTATGCTCATTATTTTTGAGCAAAGCCCCCATTTACTTTTTGCTACTCTTGACATGATATTAAAAAGTAGGTTTGTTCTATCACAGATGTACTGTATGTGAGGTATCCAGCTGAGCTTGTGATATAGAATCAAGCCCAAGTATTTTAGTGAAGGTACAATTTGTACACTAGTGTTTCCCATATGGATCGTAGGTGTCCTTCTGTATAGGTGTGGAGCCCTTGGTTTTGTAAGGATAATACCTTTAGTCTTTTTTGAGGTTAAAATCCAACTTGCTGTTTGTACCCCACTCCACCACCTTAGCTAGGATGTTGGTTGCCTTTTTTTCTATTTCTGCTTTGGATCGATCACATACTACAATCATAGCGTCATCGGCGTACGCTACAGCCCATTCACCACCTAGGTTTGTATTTAAGAAATCATTAAAAATAAGATTCAAAAGGATGGGGCCAAAGACAGACCCCTGAGGCCAACCATGGGTGATTTGCCGAGTTGAAAGCACCAGTGTAGGATTTTTGTACGCGGCAATTATGCGTTCTACAGTTCTTGCTCCAAATTGCCGCGTACAACAATCCTAAAAAGAGAAAGAAAAAACCTGATGGAAACAGCAATGTCACGAAGTTCACTTATAATAAACATCTATCCTTTGTTATGAAAGAAATCACCAACTACAAAAACACTACCATTATATACAAAAGAGCTCCCGCCATATATACGTTACTTAGAAATGACAAAAATAAGATTAAAGAGAACGAACAATCAAGAGCGTACGCAATACCATACAAGAACGACCATTTGGAGATAGACAAGGAATATATAGGAGTCACGAATAGAAACCTGAACAAAAGAGTTAGAGAGCATAAGTACGACGTAGCAAGGAGTCGATATACAACAGCATTATCAAAGATAGCGCAGACTGATTGCTCCGTGGTTAAATGGGAAGAGGCCACAATCATTGCACCCGTACACTCACTAACCCTTGCGTCAACAACAGAAAAATGTGAGATGTAGCTACAGATCCAGCTTGATAGAAAAATGTTTAAACTATAAAAATGCAACCATTTTACCTTCGGCGTGGAAATATATAATCAGAAAGAACTCGTAGGATGATACATTCAATAGGTGCAATAGAAAGCCTGAGATACTATAGATTTTTTACATTGTGTACATGTTTAATTATCGTATTTTTGTATTTTATTTTATTTAGGTCATTTCTTTTATTGTATTAATTTCGTTATATTTGTTTACTTAATTCAATTTCAATTTTTTACGTATGTTCTAATATAATTTATTTAAATTTGAACTTGTTGTTCGAAACCCTATGGATTCGAACGTCTTTAGCCTGAGGATGGCCCATAGAATGGGTTGAAAACGTTTGTTCAGCAGAATAAATGAACTTTCTCAGTAATAAGAAGTGTTGATTTTGTAACGTTAAAGATTCTGAGTGTGAATAGGAGAATATTTTATAAACTTTTTTTTATTTACTAATTTCATTTTATAAAATATGTTTTCTAAAATAAAAACAAACAGTATTTCTTATTTCAAGTCAAGAAATAAACTATATTGCCACAAAAAATACAGGCCAAAGAATTGGAATTTTTATCTGATAGCCATATAAACATTTAGAAGTTGGATAATGTGTTTTCTTGCCTATGACAATGAAAATTTTGACAAATTTTGTTTGATATAAAATCAATAATATATTACTGATCTCTGATGAATAGTAAATTATTTTAAAACTAAGTCTTGATAAATATATCATTGCTTTTTTTTATTTTGATGTTTCTGTTTTAAGTAATTTGAACAAAAATTCCATTTTAAATTAGAAACAATGAAAATTTATTGATATACAGTATTTGTGATGTATGTATAGTGATATCTCTAATAATAACTTATTAGCAGTTTAAATTTTAAATAATGCACAAGTAAATATTAAGAATGATTTATAGATTTGATTATGATAGTAAAAGTTATATTTTAGTAAAGCTCAAATTTATATTTAGAAATGACAAAAAATATTTGTATTGCAAAGAATTATTTATAATTTAATCATCATTAATATTTTGATCAGTTTGCTTACAATTATAAGATATAATAATTTGTTTAATTTATGCTGCTGAAACTATTGTATGCACTTTGCAGCTTACAAACGTCTTTTCATTCTTGATATGGAGAAAAACTGAGTCATTTCCGAGAGAATCGAATCCGGATCCTCCCGCGAAAATCTCAATACACGTTAAACAGGCAAACTTATTATAAAGTATATTCTATTAGAGATTTATCAATATAAAATAACCAGAATGAATTTTAATAATGTTAGAAAGACTATTAATACATATTATTAAAAACAGAAAAATAGTATAAGATTATAGTTTACACATTTACTTCCAGATGGCACTGTACCGGATATCGAATTAAATTTATCAAAGTTTTTTACAATAAAATGATTTTAATAATTCAGTATACAATGTATTATTTTATAACATATATTTTAATCGTAATTATTGTTCCTCACAATTTACAATATTAAAAATTATTGAATAAGAAGTTTATATATTAGCCACCAGATGTCGAAAGCGAGTAGCTGAATATAGAAAACGGAAGTAGTGGGATAGTGTACTTCCGATATCTATGACGCGTTTAGCCTTGAGTTGTGTCCTTTTAACAATCTTCTCCATTGTTTATTAATCTCGTATTTCCGGTAAATGGGGCGTATGCCTTAAACATTAAACTCAATTCTGCTGTATTAAGTTCGCCGAATTAAGATAATGTATGCCATTTAAAATAGCAAGAAGAAAGTCGAGAGCTGTTATGAATTACCAGCAACAGTAAACGACAATGGCTCAACACAGACAGGTAAGTTCTGACGAAAAAATAATAATATTTTTCATTGTTTTTTTACGAAGAATTTCGCTAATAATTCACTTCCCCCGCTTCCACATGATCACGTGATGCAGTTGTGATGAAATTGCACGTGCAGTTTGGCGGAAAATGATTTATTTTTAGAAAGAAAATCAAAACGTGCTTCTAAAAATGAATACATTTACTGTTTTCTTTTGTTTTTTAATATTTAAATGTCATTAAATTAGTATAATTGAGTGAAAAGAAAACAAATAATTATATTATTTTCAAATTTAAATAAATGTATTAAGTGATTATCTGTTTATCAACAAGCTTTGATATGTGTGCAGTTAATGGTGTTTATTGATATGATATGTTTGTTGCTGTTATCAATATTAAATATGTTTTTAGTTCAAACAAGTGGAATTAAACATTAAGTGTTAAGATTTAAGTATTGTATGAATTTAAATTTTAGTTTGGTAGAAAACAAGAAAATCTGTCAATTGTTGGTACAAATGTAGCTCTAAATGAGGCTGTTGGGACCTTACCAGAGCTGTAGATTGTGCCCATATGAGTAATAAAGTCAGAGGAATTGTTAGTCTATGTGTAATCCTTCACAAGATATGAGAAAATTTTAGGGTCCAAATTCCTCATTTGCAACTGCAATTTTGCCTAACTGCAATATCCTCCATTCATTTAAACTGCCAAAACTGTATTTTCTTTTGAGGATGCTTGAACCACTACACGGATGTGAAAAAGATAAAATTGAATCTGGATTGATTGTAAATAAAGTAATTTTCAGTCCCTTCTGTATGCTTTTTATATAAAATACTGTACTAAATTTTGGACTTCTGATAACTGGGCTAAATGGTCTGGATCAGCCAATATAACATCTTTCTACATTTAAAGTAGAAATTATATGAATAAGATTTTCATTTTTTTGTGTGTAATTTTCAAAAATTTGTCTGTTTTTATTTAAGTTAAGATAAAATATTAAAATATTTTAATAGAGATGAAAATTAGATTTTGAATATGAGAAGCATCAGTGATTAGAAACAACCCTACCTCTTGTTTAGATAAGCTTTTAACAAACCAGGAAAGATGAGTTATGACAACCTTCATGTTCACCTGGATTATTTAACAACATACCTATTAAGGAAGCTCCTCAAATGTAAATACTATTCAAACTGCTTTCTTCAGAGCAAACAGTTCTTAGAAAATTTTAATACTTTCATGCTATGTGACCTTCAAGAATTAACAAGAGAAAAAAGAGATAAGATACTAGATTTCTGTTCTTGACTTTTGATATTGAGCTTACAACCTCAAAGTTTTGAGTTTACTTAAAAACTTTTGCTTTGAGGAAGTCAATTGGAATTGATATTAAGAAACTTCCTTAACAAGTATGCAGTTTAAAAAATAATTATTCTGGTGAATATAATTTTCATAATCCCTGATCATATCTGTTTTTGTTTTTTTCAAAGTTATTATATAAGTTAGCAAAAAGTTTGACTAATCATTGATGCTTCTCATCAGTGGCGTGCCGTGACATTTGATGATAGGGAAGCTGTGTTTCTGTAAGAAGCTGACATCCAGGGGCAATCAGTCAGTTGCGCGTCAGTGATGGCCTAGGATCCATTCGTATTGTTTATTCAATAAGCCAGTAAAAACCGTAGACTTCTCTAAATGCATTTTTAATATCACAATTACATTCTGAATCACTAGCCGTGGTATAAGGACTACAATTAAAAATAAAATAATAAAAACTTACTCGGTGAAATAAAATGTGTGGTGGATGTACCAGTACTGTACAGTACATACCTGGTACAAAATATTCTTCAATTGTATGAATATACTTTTAAAGAAAATTATAATTAAATATAGCTTTGTAAAGAAACGTACATAAAAATATAAAATATTATTTACTTTTTAAATCTTAAAACAATGCACTTAGTCCAGGGGTTGGCAACCTTTTGAGTCGGAAGAGCCAAAATTACAATTTACAAAATTTCAAAGTTTTTAAAGAGGCACAAAATTTTTTCTTGCCAACAATAAATAGTACTCGCATAAATAAAGTTTTTTGATAAAAAAAAAACTAATCTATTTATTCATATATAAGTAGTGTTTTTCACAACAAATTAGATAATAGAAACATCCGACGACGAGAGCTTCCGACGGACTGACGACAGTGACGACGCGTGTCACAGGGGAGGGGTGCGGTGAAAAGCGAGTACAAGTGGCTGAGAGATAGAATCAGTACCTAATCCTCGTTAATCAATTCAGAACGATTTTTAAATTTTTTTTTTTTTTTTTTTTTTTTAAAATAAATAATATTTGC